CTGATATTCCCTGATTTTATTACATTTTATTGAATGTCTGATGGTGTTGACAAAAAGTGGGGACGCAACTTTAAAATCTTATGAAACATGCATGCGTCATTTAAAAAACAACCTTGCTTTGATAGGAGATATTATTAAGTGTTGCTTTTGATAAAACAAGCTATTTTTCATCATTAAAAAACATTTTAATTCATTTTATTGCATATGAATGATTGAACCCTTCTCTGTGGACACACTGTTTTAGATGTAGTGAGAGGACATTAAGAAACACAGATTTGGTATAATAATGAGACAATTAAATTGAAGGTGATAATTGTGTTAAACACTTTCTATTATTAATCCCTCATGACATTTAAAATTGAAAATATTTTTATTTTTTAAAGCTAATAGCAGTTACCCCTGCTGGACCTGTTTTGTCCCACGTCTCAAGAATGACTGATTTGTTAATTCAGTTAAATAGTATTCAATAAAAATAATATATTCATGTTTACACATATCAGCATTCAGTTCTCTTCCTAAAAAGCTTTTAATATCAAGTTAAACTGTAAAAACTGTCAAAAGTTTTGTGATTTAGCTTGAGATATAGGCCTATATACATACATACATAGCCTACACATACATGAATGTTTTTTTTTTTTTTTAAGAATCACTTTATCAAACGGAAAAGGTGTGTTTCCAAGCATGACCCCTTTAATGCTGTCTATGTAGGCAGTTCACTAGGTTTTGAGGTTGATTTCGATCATCTACAAGCGGAAAGCTAATTTCTTTGATATTTAGAGTACATTACAAATCCAGTACTACTGCAGCTGCGTATTAGATACTGTACAACAATGTATGAAAATGTTGTCCGATTAAACACAGGGCTTTTTCAAAATAACGTACATAAATGTCCGAATTCCTTCTCATACCTACTATGAATATGTTCTATACTATTTTAGGTTTTAAGTCTTGTAAATCACGATAGAACGCTGTTATGGTAAATGACTTAAAAGAGGCACAACTGATTTCACCTCAATGTCCTTGACAGCTGCTGAACACTACACTGCAACACAGCCATATATAACAGATAACCTACAGCAGGCATACGTGCTCAGCCACTGTTGGTGAAATCGCGTAGAGTACACAATTTATAGACTGAAACCCATTTGATCAATGCCAATATCCTCACCATATCACAGAATGACCAGAATATCTCATCATTGTGATAACATGAAATCCATGTTTAGCCTACTCCCCACTGCGGCCATTCAATATACTGTTTGCCTTTTAAATCAATTTGTATTAAATATACCCCTCAAGCAAGCAAGGATGTATTTACGACACAGCCAACGCCTGAAACTATTCGGAGGCACAATTTGAGAATGAATGAATCATCATTATTAACAGACAGAAGCATAAGCAAGAAAAGATCTGAAATACTTACAGCCGGGTGGCTTTTCACTTGTTTCAGTATGGTACTCAGCATGTCAAACTCCCGAAATATATATATATATATATATATATATATATAGATCAGGATTATTAATGATAGATCTGATGGTGTTCGTACGCTCTGCTGTGTGTTTCTGGAGCGGAGTGTAAAGGGATGCCTGATACTAATGCGCTGTGGACGGACAGAGGGCGTCCGCGGGTAACACTATTGAAATAGCCTACTCTTGTAGCCAAACCAAAATAAACCATCAGTGTTGGTGAACTGCTGGTGGTATATATAACTAAATTATTTAGTAAAATGCTCTGGGATATGTGTCGTTTAATTTGAATCATCTGTTATCCGAAATTATTTATTTAGTTCTTAATTTCAATTGTTTTAAAACTAGTGCTGGGCAATGATTAATAAATTATATCGTGTCATGTACAGTGTTGGGGAAAGTTACTTTTAAAAGTAATGCATTACAATATTGCGTTACTTCCTAAAAAAAGTAACTAATTACGAGTTACTGTTTATGGAAAGTAATGCGTTAGGTTACTTTTGCGTTACTTTCGCGTTACTTTTTAAATATGAGCAGGGCTTGATTGTTTTTAATATTAAAAGTTCTATTTATAGCAAATGTAAAAGCCCTTTCACACCAAAAAGTGTAATGAATAAACCTCAGGCTGAAGGAAAAAGGTACACTAGAACACAGGAGACGAAGGTTCAACACTCTTGAACAATTGAAGCACAGTTGTTAGTTTATCTAGTCATTTTTGCTTATTAGTATGGTTGAACTGGATCATCAAAAGTCAGCAGCAAAGACATTAGTTAATAAAATGGGATTAGATACATTTGTGTTATTTAACATTTAATTATTGCAGGTTTACGTCACATTCTGAGTTTGCATTTCACCGTTTTAATTCATTTTGATGAATACTAAATCAGTTTTTTGTGAGTGGGATGAATTAATGCGCATTCACATTTAGTTTAGAACTACAGTAACATCATGTTCACACAGCGCACACAACGCCTCTGCACTTCAGATTTCTCCCAATATGGGGAGAGGAGACTTGTCAGTCAATAAATGGGAAAACAAACTAACTGGTGTTACTTTTTTGAAACAGTAACTCAGATATTTTCTTGTAAATTAAAAAGTAATGCGTTACTTTACTAGTTACTTGAAAAAAGTAATCTGATTACGTAACTAGCATTACTTGTAATGCATTACCCCCAACACTGGTCATGTAATGAAAATATGTGAAATCTGACAAGGGACATAGGAGCAGCAGGTATGAAACTGAACATTTGATATAACCGATTAAAAAAAAAAACAACATCTAATTTGCTGCATATACTAGGCTATAAATCACATTATTTGATCACATGAGATTAGCACTTAATTTTCTTTTGCTAATCATGACCGTCAAAATCACAGTAGACTATGTTGTTTCTCATAATATCACCCGCTTGGAATTTAGTAAGACAGAACAGGCATTCAGTCATGCTCGATTCTACTTTATTGGTGTGATCTATAGAAAGAAAAGAATAAAACAATATGCATGTAGTTTCCCCAAGTACTTTCCAACGGGAAGGCAAGTTGTCCAAACCAACTCATTTGAACAAAGCAATTCAACCAAAGCTTAAAATAACAACAAACACCATGTGCGCAATGAACGTACTGAATAAAGAAATACTTTAAAGTCAGATAATGTCACCATTTACATTCTATAGCTTATCTTTAGCAAAAAAGAAAAAATGTGCAAACTGTACAGACTTGCTAACTAATCTTACATTCATGTACAGATTCATCTATACAAATATAAAAACATTCATATGTTCAAGTTATACAATGTAAACATTATTTAGACAAAAACAAAACACTACTTTTGGAAAAAATAAAAAGGGTGAATGTAAATGTACCATTAAAGCATGACTGTGACATTCACCTCAAATCCAAGAACATGAACATACAGTACCTACTGAAATGGTCTATGACTGTAATAATCCACCCACATACTTTCTTCAATAAACTTTTCAATAATCAAAACAAAATATAACTAAGGTACATATATTTAAAAAATAATACATTTGCCATTTCTTTGAAGTAGGTGGTAAAATACAGATCTAAAATACAATCATTGCCTAATAGTACCATTCATTGCCTAATAGTACCATTCAGTACCATCTGGTATTATCTTATTACAATTAGCAAAATTCAACATTAAACACCAAAGAACTGATTGTTTTTAAAGAATCTCTCTCACGCAGATGCTGATTTCACCGGTTTTTCTTTTCTTACTAACTCATCACTGTGCCACCCAACAGGACCCTGGAGAAACTGAGAGGCTGCAGATCAGGAAGTCCACTGGAGGTAGGAGGGGCTTCGGGAGATTGACAGGGCAGAAGGCTGAGCCTGTGTGTGTGGTGAAGTTCACTTTGTTGGGGTCAGGACAGGAGGACACGTACACGTGATCCAAACATGGAAGGCTGAATTAGAGGATGGGGGGGGGGAGATGACAGAAGATGCACAATGTCAATATTGAGTTAACCACTTAGATTGAGAATAGCTTTATAAATGTACATAACCACATAGCAACACTCTGGTATGCCTACTTACACGTTCTCTTCACACACTCGGATTCTTTCACAACCTTCTGGTGGATCTCTCTGAAAGCAGTAGCTGTTATTGGGCCGTGGTGATGAGGACACCATCACAATACAAGAGTTGACCTCTTCAACTGAGGACAGAGCATTATCACAGTCAGTTCAAATTAAAGATACATAGGAAGGTATCCAGATTTATGAAATGGAAACCCAGGACATGTACTAGTTCAGCAGTCAAAATATACTTGAAATCTCACTTGATAATTGATGATAATTACATCTTTTTAACTTTTCAAATGTTGTTTTCAAATGCTTTTTAAAAATGGATTTTACTATCCCTAATTAGGATTATTATTTTGCAGTTTAAGATCATTTTGAGCACAAAGTATGTGCTTTTTGCAAACTGAATTGTTGCTAGTGTAATGGACCCTTTTCATATATCTGAGATTCTCAGTATAGCATTATAAATCTATGTAACATTTTTAGAAAACAAAATCTATTGGTAGATGTTAATAATGGTGGAAATGCCTCATCGCAGTATGTGAAAATGGTCCTTTTCTTTCTTTCTTTTTCTTTTTTTATTTATTCATATCGGGGTGTACTTTCACCTATGTGATATAGTTAAAGAGATAGTTCACCCAAAAATTGTCATCATTTATTCACCCTTAAGTTGTTCAAACATCTTCAAACATGTTTCTGAGTTTCTTTCTTCTGTTGAACACGAAAGAAGATATTCTGAAGAACGTTGGTAACCAAACAGTTGCTGGTAGCCACTGACTTCCATTGTATGGGGAAAAAATCCCATGGAAGTCAGTGGCCTGGTTACCAGTGTAGTCAGTGTACTGCTCTGGTAATCAGTGTAGAATGCAGCTCTCTGTTGGTGAAAATAATCACTACAAGATTGCTCTCCTAACCAGCAGGGTATGCTGGTCAGGATTTTTTGCAGGGTATTTAAAAGGTGTTTTGAATGTGCTGAAAAAAAATGGTACATTTCCAGGCACAGGACATCAAAAACCAAACTGTGTCCAGAAAACGTGGATGTCTGGTCACCCTAATATATAGTTAAGTTTTTGACAGGAATAATATGGTGGTGACCTATCAGCAAGAGCTAAAAAAAAAAAGGAGACCTACCAGTTTCGAGATCTAGAGGGCGCTGTGGAGAGCAAGATGTGGATGAGGAAGAAGAAGAGTGAGAAGCTACACAAGAAGACCCAATCTGAAATCCACTCTTGGAGCTCAGGTGAGGAACAGGAGCCCTGTGGCCATCAGGAACCTCATATAACTTTAAAAAAAAAAAAAACAGTTACATGAAGGTTTCCAGTCATGTATGCAACTTTGCATGATATCAGCCTTCACAATCAGTTAAAATGGTGAAAAGTGTTAGACATACTCCACAGTGGTGAACTGATGAGTGATGTGTGAAGACTTTCTCCAGCTCCTGATCTAGTCTCTCTTCACTTCGACGCAGACGTGACGGCAGTCGAGTCAATGACGCAGATGGGATTAATAGAGCAGGGGACTGAGAAGAGAAGAAACTCAAACATATTGGTATTAGTATTATTACAATGACTTTTTATTCTTATCTAATAATATTTTCCATCCTCAGTTATTCCCAGATATTGTTTTTACTTGAAGGCCCTCCAACGCAATATATATATATATATATCTTTTTTTTTCCAAATGTTTTTATTAACAGAAACTGAGTATTTAAAATTTAATTCATTAACAATGAATCAATGGTGATGAGAAAAAAAATGCATATTAATAATAATTTTTTTAAATACTAGTGTTTTGCTGAGCCTCCTTAGTGGGCCCCGGCTCTCCCGGGTTGAGAGCCACCGCTCTAACACTAAACATATCCATCCAAGAAACCTTTTGGTATTTTCACAAATACATTTATATTTGCGTTCATCTTTTTATTGTATGTTTTTTTTTAGTTGTTTTAATTGCAAGGGCATTTAGGATTTTAGGTTTCCTACCTATAATCAGGGCTTGACATTACCCACCAACCTGCCAAATGCGGGTGGATTTCAGCAGTGGCGGGTAATATGGTCACTCCCACTAGCCACTTTGGCGGGTTGAATTTTATATAACATAGCTCAACATTAATGCTTGTATGAGACAAGTGGATTTTTTGAATGGGTGAGTGAAAGAGAATTTTACTTGCCCGACCTGGACAACTGATGTGATTAAAACAACTAATTAGGGATGCACTGAAATTTGGGCGAGAATGCTTCTGATTTTATTACATTCGGTGGAAAAGGCAATCGATAATGGATAATCAACAAGTAACAAGGTCGGGCCAGTTGAGGCTCACGCAATCTGTATGTGAAACAATCTCGTTGAGAAATCAAAACAAATGAACACAACTGCACACAGAAGAAACATCTCTGAGCAAAACAGAAGTGTTTCGTTACTGAATGATTTGCGTTTTTGAATTACTCATTTGAGTCAATGATTCAGTGGTCCACTCATAAAGACAGGGGGCCGGTTGCATAAAAGGTTTAGACTAGTCTTAAAAGTTAGTCATCTAATTTTGTTCTTTAAAGGGTTAGTTCACCCGAAAATGAAAATTCTGTCATTAAAGGTGCAATAGGTGATTGTCTTCAGAAACATTTTTTGTTATGCTGGTTGAAAGGCTCGGTCCAAGTGTTTT